CACAGGCGATTTTACACACAAACACTTTTACACACAAACACTTTTACACAGAGAGACTTTTACACGCAGACGCTTTTACACACAGAAGCTTTTACACACAGAGACTTTTACACACAGTGGCTTTTACCCGCAGAGGATTTTACACAGAAACACTTTTGCACACAGAGACTTTACACACAGAGACTTTTACACACAGAGATTTTTACACACAGAAGCTCTTACACAGAGGATTTTGCACACAAACACTTTTACACACAAACACTTTTACACAGAGAGACTTTTACACGCAGACGCTTTTACACACAGAAGCTTTTACACACAGACGCTTTTACACACAGAGGCTTTTACACACAGAAGCTTTTACACACAGACACTTTTACACACAGAGACTTTTACACACAGAGATTTTTACACACAGAGGCTCTTACACAGACGATTTTACACACAAACGCTTTTACACACAAACACTTTTACACAGAGAGACTTTTACATACAAACACTTTTACGCACAGAAGCTTTTACACACAAACGCTTTTACACACAGACGCTTTTACACACAGATGTTTTTACACACAGATGCTTTTACACACAGACGCTTTTACACACAGACGCTTTTACACACAGAGGCTTTTACACACAAACACTTTTACACACAAACACTTTTACACACAGACGCTTTTACACACAAACATTGTTACACACAGACGCTTTTACACACAGACACGTCAGGCACAAGTAAAATCGCAATTTTTCCTCAGTTTTTGCGCATCGACCCTCATTTCGTGCGAAAGGGTTGCTTGGGGGCAAGTAAAATCGCAATTTTACCTCAGCTTTTGGCGATCGACCCTCATTTTGTGCGAAAGGGTTGCTCCGGGACAAGTAAAATCGCAATTTTACCTCAGTTTTTGGCGATCAACCCTCATTTCGTGCGAAAGGGTTCACGTTTCGTGACTCCCCGCCGGCACCACCCTCGGCCTAAAGAGAGAAAGATAAAGAAGGCAAGAGAGAGAAAAGGGAGAGAGAAAGGAGAGAAGATGTGAAGATGAGAAGATGTGAGAGAAGGTGTGAAGATGAGAAGGTGTGAAGATGAGAAGATGAGATACAGACCTTCACTATTGGAAGAACCCTGCGCTCAGACGCTCTCGGGAAAAAGGAATGGATCCAAATCCAACCGAAAATTCATGAAATTGAAGTCAAAATAAGTGAAAGTTGATGGAAACTACTGAATGTTGATGAAAATTGAAGAAAGCGGGAAAAGAATGAGTGAAAGTGTATTATTTCTTTTTGCTGGATTTTGGGGGCACCTGTAACATAACATCAACTATCAAACGGTGGACTTTGGGATTGCCAAAGTGCTGGGAAAGACCCAAGGTGTTGGTGAGCCAACAAGGACGTGTGGCGAGTATTCCGGTGCAAGATCCACCAGCAAATTTGGGTTTACTTTAAAGCCATGAGATAACAGCCATGAACAAGGTCATCAACAACTATAGTTATTTATAGCCATTACTATCAGCATTCAATTTAGCCATTCAAAAGAAAGCATGGAAAATTATCAAAATCATCATACAGCTATTACATATTATTACATATATTTTATAGCCATGGATTTTTAGCCAATTCCCCAGGAGTTTCCCAACGAAAAATCTGGCGCCTGCGCCAGTCCAACTCCTCCGCCCTGCGCTGCAGCGTCTCGCCGCTCTCGTCGTCCCAGCCGCGCAGCCGCGGACGCTTGGGCGGCGGAGCTGGCGCGGCTGGCGCGGCCCAAGGGATCCCTTGGGGAATCCCTTTGGGATTCCCTTGGGATGTAGTGAGTTCACCAAAAATGGGGATCCATGGTAAGAAAAATGAAGCCATCAAGTCGGAAGCCATGAACACTAGGATCTCACGATCAAAAATGGTGAAGTAAGCATAAAGAAATTGAGATTTTGCATATTGATTTAACCAGCAAAATTGCAGGCAATTGAGCAACCAAAACTGAAATGTCGTCAGAGTTTAGGGGAAATGGTCTGTTTTAATCATCAGTAATGTGGATAATATCGACTTCATCACGAGTAGCTATGACTCACAAAGACTTGAGGATGAATCCAAAATACGGAATCTAATCCGGAAAACATTGACCATGGGATCGTATGAAACTTGGGAATTCCAATCGCAAACGGGAAATGACTAACAATAGTGACTTAAAATTGGGACTTGATCATGAGTAAATGGATGGGTTGATTCAATCATCAGCAGGTTCCATTCTTAAGCCTGTGGAAACACTTGCGGTAACCCCCAGAAGGATGCGGAAAAGGTTCAATTTGCCATTGTTGAAGTTCCTTTGGGAGTGGATTGGAGTCATTGGAGTGTGAGCTATCCCGGAATCCCCAATAAATCAGGCAGTAGAAGTCCTGCCTGCACCATGCCGCCCTTTGTAGTGCAAAAAGTTCCTGAGATCCCGGTAGTTTTTTGGTGAATGAGGGGAACCAAACCAAACAAGGTGGAAATCCTTAGGGAAATATCTTGTCTTATTGGTACTTGTTGAATTGTTGGCAACTCTTGACCATTATTGATACGTGTCAGTTCATTGGCAACTGTTGGTCATCTACGTAAAGATATTTACAAATATCAGAAAGCTAGGGAATTATGAACTTTCACAGAATTCCATGGCAAGCCAGTTCTTTGATCGATCCGATGAAGCTAAATTCCCTTTGTCGATCATTTTCCGAAGGGCTTTCCCCACGGGTTTTCTGAGAATCTCTGTTCGTTTTCCCTGGAGTATCCTATTTCAACTGCTGATTTGCCAGAAAAACATGCAACAAAGCCGACACCAGACTTGAGCGGTGGGCAAAGACACCACAGCTGTGAGTTGACGTGGTTTCCTCGTAAATATCCCACTGCTTCAAACAGAGACTTTGAAAACCACCAAACACCTCAAAAACAACTCCCAATCCCTTTATCTCCCAGGTCAATTTTGATTTAAGAAATGAGTTCCTCTTAAATCCCCATATATCTAGATATGTTACTATATCAAGCTTGGTCTATGGTTCCCCATATCTCCCTTTTGTCTAGTAATATATCAAGATATTGATCAGATATCCTCATATATGGTAAATATCATTCTCTCCTCTTATTAGTTACATATGTGTATTTATACAATATAGTATATATATAATTATATATATATACATAATTACATATATATATATAATTACATATATATATATATATATAGAATCCCCATGAATCTCGCAACATATCAAGATATCCGCAACAACTCCTCCGGCAAAAAAGGGCGCCCGGCAGAAAGGCACCGGCGTCGAGGGTGGCGGAGGCCACCACGATGCGCAGCCGCGGGCGCTTCCGCAGGATCTTCTTGAGCCTCGGGCTGTAGAAATGGAGATGTTATACAGATTACACTATATAAACATATAACGATAGATAGATATATATATATATATAATATATATTATATATAGATACTCATATAGACTAGACATCTGTACAAACATATCTATGTAAGCAGCATAAAGAAACTGTGTCTGGAGAGAGTGGACAGATCTCTATTGATAGAAAAGGGCTGCAAAAGGTATGCAGTAGATTTGCAGTAGATCAGTAGATCAGTGGATAGATTGATATATAGATAGATTTGGAAGAACGTGGATACAATACTCACCACCACGAAAGTAGGCGTGTTTGTACCATTTGCCAGTTGACTTTTCATGCAGTAAGATTAGCTGCAGGGAAATCGTGGACTTCCAAGATTCAAGCGAGTTTGGCCCAGACTCTGAACCCCTCCAAGCGTTGGAAACAAGAAAGGTCAAACCATCCCAACTGCTTCGTCCTAGCTGCAAGCCCAGTAAGAGGTCCGTGTTGGCGCTCCGTTCATGGGCCTCATCCAAAACAATGACACCTTGTGCCGCCGGTTGCCGCTCGCAGGTGTCGAGGGTGGTATACACCGTGTCCCAAGGGTTTGGAGACAGCGAGCCATTCTGAGTTACATCAAGTTACATCTCATTTCAACAGGCCTACTCTACACCTAAGGCACCTAAGAAAGTTCACCTGAAACTTGGGAATTGAGCTTCGGCTGAATGCCAGAAATTCTGGGCAGTTGGCTCCCAAAAAATATCCAAAATGAGGAAATATTGCTTTTTCAGCCGACTTTGGTGATTTTGGGGAGCCAGCTTTGGTTTTAAGACGATGTTTGTGCCCAAATCGGAGTGATCTCTGCAATTTCCCAATACAAGTTTACCCATCATTGATAACCATCGAAATATAGTACCCCCATACATCATCATTGCCCATGATCTTCTCATGACTATTCATTCCCATTAATCGTACCCACCATATGAGGTGATACATATCTTCTCATGACATCAACTAGCCACCTAAAAATTTTCATGAGTATCACATAGTATCACCTCTTCTTGCAACTTGACCTTAAAAGTGCAGTTCCACTAATATTCGTGGCTTTTCTTCAACCATAGTTGCAGAGCTAAAAAAATGAGGTTCGATCCGAACCCTTGGAGGTCAAAATCCCCATTTTTTTATAGCTATTTGTGCAACACCGCTTAAAAAGCAACAAGTCCCAAAGTCCCGTATCTAGAGATATCATGAGATATCTCTAGATTAATACACATAGTTACAGGTTACACCCATTAATATACCCCCAGTAATATCCCATAGATTCATCATCTTCCCATAGCCCCGGCCAAGGCACTGAAGCGCGTGAGCAGCGGATCTGACAGCATCTCCCGCAGCAGAATGCCTTCGGTCACGAACTCCAGGCGCGTCACGCCCGGGGTCACGTAGCTTTCGAAGCCTGGGAAAGCCCCGACCGGGAAACCTGGACAAAACACCAGCAAAACCTAGAAAAAATGAGAGTTGACCTAAAATTTTCGACAAAGAAGTTGGGAACTCCAAAGACTCAACAAACAAAATGGAAAATCTGAAGATCTAAAATCATTTTACGGACTCTGTAGACATTTCGCGACCCCTGAGTTGTTTCTTAATCCCTCAATGGTTCATGGTCAATCGCAGGCCAGTGTCTTGGACGTTTATCCGAGATAATAATTGCTTCAGAAAAATGCTTAATCCAGTTGTACATGAGATACCCGCAATTGTTTACATTTCCAAAATACATATGGTGGTATAGGTCTTAGGTATCCACTGGTTTACAAAGCTCGTAGTTTCCCCAGGTGTATAAATATCGCCTGTATAATGCATGGCCGGGATCCCAAAATCATTCATTTGGGGAAACCCATGGTTTGGGGCATCTCAATTTGCAAAAACACCCAAATACCTTAGAGATAGTCGAATAAGTAAATATATATAGATATAATATAATTACAATATATATATAATATTATATATATATATATATACAGTATATATGTATATACAGTATATATGTATGTAACTTTCTATAACCATCAACAACCATACTTCCCCTTTCCTCATATCCCACCTTTCCACTTTCATGGCCACCTTGCCGGGCGACGAATGCGGTAGCCCACCTCTCGGCCCAGTTCCACGCCCATCTCCTGACTCACGCGCTGCGCCACCGTCACCGCAGCCAGCCGCCGCGGCAACGTGATGCACACCACGTAGCCTGCGGACGTTGGGGGCGGATTTCAGCAGGCAGAATGGGCAGAATGGGCAGAATGGGCATCTTTTAGCAAAAAATCTGCCCACCTTTGGCCGTCCAGCCGGCATCGTCTAAATACTGGGGCAGCTGAGTGGATTTGCCACAACCTCCGCGAAAGCTTGAACGGCAGAAACGGCAGAAAAGTTGGACCTTTCCTGAGGGTGATCTAGGGGATTGGATGATAGATGACATAAATCTATCATGATGATATAAACCTACATCTATAGGGGATGATGATAGATAATCTATAGGGGACGATGATATATGATAACCGGTAAACGGGATGCTGATGGTGATAATGCTACTCTTGGGGCTATCATTGCCACTAGCTCTCAATCTACACTTCAACAAAATACACCAATGGAAATGGGTCTGGGTGAAAACATTGGTACAGTCTACTGTTCACCCTGAATTAATAGGTGTTTATTAATGTTCATCGTAGCATGATCCATCCAAACCCAGAATCACAACCTGAGTTCCAGCCTGTAGCACCGCATAAGACCACTGCACGATGCGTTTCAACCTCCAGGGATACCTATGACACCCTTCGGATTTGCTATACTATGTATTAATATGTATTATAATATGGGTTTAATGGATGTTGGTGGTTGATTCACCATCAGTTTAGATATGACTCGTGCTCGGCATCTGAAAAACTTTGATTTCCGAAGGCTCCCAAAGGCAAGCGACGAGATGGATCACAATCCGATCAGTCAAAAGTTTTGACATCACAAACTGCAAGTTGATGAACCCCTTTTGCTAACCAGTTTCATTTTGTCAATGCCCCTGTTCTTCCCATGTTTGTTTGATAAATTCTTCTTTTTTGGTGGTTCTTTCATTGGCAAATCATTAACCGGCTCATATTGTCTATATGTAATATGTAAAAAGAAACCCCCCCAAATAGGGTCAGAGAAGTTGGAAACCTGGAAGATCCTGGAAATGATGGTGAAAACATCAACAAGATCCTGGATAAATACGTAGCTCGGTCCCTTTTTTGATGGACTCCTGTGACATTTTACACCGAGCCAAAGGGACCGCATGGAGAATCTGCAGGCGATGCTTGTAGATGGGTAAGCGCTTTCTCTGCTGCTCCACCTGGGCTTAATGAGGATACAACTGACATATCCTAAGGAAAAAGGGGATACATCCCAGCTGATAGGGATCCCCATCCACTGACAGACCTGGAGTTATAGGATACGGCCGCAACAAAAAGGCAATGTCTACGGGCAGCCGCATGTCCTAAGGAAAAATGTTGGGAATGGCCGGGTCATCCCTGTGGTAGAGACAGGAAGGAGGTTTCCATAAATGGGAAAAAACCCTAGTCCTCATCCATTTTACCAGGATTTTTTGAAAAAAAAAAAAAACTCCAGCTATTGGGGGGACCTCCATTTATGGAAACCCCCATTTTTCATAACCCACCAGAGGGGTTCCACACTACAAAACTGTGAGGTGCCCTCAGACGCCCCACCGGCAAGCGATCGGATGGATTGAAAACCGGCAACGCCTGGCGCTGACCCCCGGTTGGACAAATTGAAATTGCTAATTATGGTGTTCTTGTGCTTAGATTCATGGAATGGAATAATGAATCTAACACCATAATTAGCAATAATGAGCTTAGGATAAATGGAATTTAATTCTAACACCAGGTGAATAAGAAAGTTCAATGATGGGCCTATGGATCTTATGGAATATTTGGAATGTCATTGAAGTTTCACCAGAAATGGGGGGTTTGAGTTTCCAAAGAGGTGGCGACTAAACCATGACAAAACCAGGATTTGGGGATGGGAACACCCGAATTTCCACCTGGAAAATTTGTTTGGCAGATTGGGAAGACAACATTTTGAGAAGGTGCCTACATCATAAATCCATATAAGATCACATCTCCACGTCTGCATTTTCGGGCAAATTAGGAATTGACCAAGAAATGAACATGGTGGAATTTCATAAATATCATATGGGTATATAAATGGTGCAATGATTGAACCACCAAATCAGCCAGTTTGTGTATTAAACCATCCATTTTTTTGGTGGCAAATTGAACCATAACCATATGTACTGTGGTGATGTGTCCCATAATTATATATTGATTGTGGAGGTTTGCTAAAATATTGGTACCCGCAAATCATTGCAAATCGTCCATTTTAATAGGATTTTCATGGACTTTCCATGATCAACCATCCTTTTTGGGGTACACCCATATCCCACCATTTCTATTGGTTAAGTCCAACTAACTATATGGCGCTGGGCACCGCCGACCCGATGTTTTTCGGCATCACAGTCTAGATCCTCAGTATCTCGGGAGTATCTCGCAGGGATCCAAAAAAATGCATATCTGAAAAAAGGGAATAGTTTACAAAAAATAGCACTTGCTGAGCAAGAATTTAATTCTGGCCATTGTGGGAAAACATGTTGATGATGCAGCAAACTGCGTCTGAACATCATCGAATCCAATCCATCGAATGCATCCCTAAGTCAAACCCTTGTTGTAGATAGTATAAATTGTATAAATTGAATGCCATTTGAATCCAGTCGAAGACCGATTCACTCATCGCATGTTCATGTCCGAATGGTGGATCGAAAACATTTTTTTTGTGGTCATGGATGTTCAATTTTTTCAATTGAATAAATTGTGATATTGTCCAACCCACATGTTCAGTGATGGCCCTTCATTAATTGTCACTATCCAATGCGATCCTATCAAAATTCCATTAGATTACATCCCATCACATGCCCATTATGTTTGATTTCACCCCCAATTTCTGAACAAAACCAATTGATTCATGTTTACATCCTCATGTCCTCATATGTTTTTTCTCTTGGTTTTTCATGTCTTAAGAATCCCTCCATGGACTAAAAAAACTTAGCCATCGGCCCATGGATCCGCATGCGCAGGCACCGGCCTCAAGGACCAGGAAGACCATGTGTACCAATGACATACCAAACACAACTTTGAATGTAGATTAATGTGGGTAATTACGGTAAAACAATCATAAACCACCCATTTGGGAATGTTTTATACCACCTGTAGAAATGGTAATGACTGGGGATGGTTTATTATATGGGGATGGGTCAAAACCCTGGTACCTAGTGAACCCCAAAATAGCTGGTAAATGGATGTTCATCCCACTAAAAATGTATCTATAGGTATTGACCCATACCCATATGTTTAGACAAAGTGCAATCCAAACCCACGACACTTTAACATCATCTGGTTGATGCAAATTATCCCAGCCCGTTTGGGGCTGCCCACGTTCCGGGACGCCAGAACGCCATAGGCTGCCACACATTGCGAGAATGAAAAAAATTGGTCGAAATGCAGTTTACTGTCGTTGTTTGCATCAACACCCGTGATTCTTTGTTGCTGCAAATTTGTGGATGGTTTTCACGTTTTGCATGTTCAATTTTTGTTGAAAACTTATGAAAAATTATAAGGATTTTTTTTGCCTGTCTCCGGGATGTCAAATACACCTCGTTTCCGCGAAGATTTTGGATTTGAATTCTGAGTCCTGGCAGAGAACTTCCAGCATTGGTCTTTTAAAGTTGGAAGCAGCACCACAACAATCATAGTGTAAAAATGAAAAACATTTACGAATAAAACATTTGGTTTCTAAGTTTGTTCAGCCTCCTGGCAGTCAACGAATTTCAATGTTTTTCAAACAAAACGTTTGACAGCAAAGGGATCATAGCGGCACCGAAAAAGGTCCCATGCAATTCCTTTGCAAATTGCAACTAAACCCTCCAATTTTTTAAAGAGTGGAGGATCAGAAAAAAATTGTTCCTGATCAAAAAAAAAATAAAACACTAGGATCTTAAAAAAATTATTGCCTATTTCATCTAAATTTAGTGGTAGGTTACGTTTAATTTTTTTTTTGATCTGGAAATATTTTTTCTTGATCCCCCAAGGCTAGGGGAGATCAAGCTGCTCGAAAGCATCAAAAAAAAATTATTCAGTTCATTTTTTCCCTTTTCCGTTTTTCCTTCTTTCGTTCCTCCCTCCCTCCTTCCTTCCTGCTTTCCTTTGTTCCTTCCTTCCTTCTTTTCGGACGCGAAATTAAGTTGGTTTTTTTTTTTTTTTGCAATTGTTTTTTTTGGTCGTCCAGGCTCCCTTCCTTGCTTTTTGCACCTAAAATTTCTCATTTGCTGCATTTTGTAGCTAAAATCTCTCATTCGCACTGTTCATCAATTTTTCCAGTGGTTTCATGAATTTTTCCATGGTGCTTATCGAGTTTTCCATTGTTTTCATTTATTTGTCCATGATTTTCATGGAATTTTCCAGGATGTTCATGGATTTTCCATGGTTTTCGTCAATTTTGCCATAGTATTCTTCAATTTTTTCATGGTTTTCTTCAATTGCTCTATGGTATTCTTCGATTGTTCCGTGGTTTTCTTCCATTTGTCAATGGAATTTTCTATGTTTTTCAATTTTTGTATGGTGTTCATTCATGTTTTACTGGTTTTCATTCATTGTTCCAAAGTTTTCATTGATTTTTACATTGTTTTCATTTTTTTTTCCGAAGTGTTCATTGATTTTTGGAGATACATGATGTGCAAACTATAAACTGTAGATGTATAGAGGTATACATGCATGACTAATCATGACTATATGCATATGTAGATCAATGTATTTACAAGTGTAATTAATATATCTGCAGGGTTTGGTTTTAGGGTTTATTTAGGGTTGCTTTATGGTTTATTCTAGATTTGTTTAAGGTCTATTTAGGGTTGGTTTTAAGGTTTCTTTAGGGCTGGTTTAGGGTCTGTTTAGGGTTTGTTTAGGGTTGGATTAGGGGTTATTTAGGGATACAACATGTACATACAAATAACTATACTTATGTGGACGCATATGCATGCACATGATTATTTACAGTTTATTTTGGGATGAAAGCTGTGTATATAATATAAACAACCATATGTATATATATATATATATACAATATATATATATATATAATATATATATATATATATATAGTCTAACCAAACTAGTGTATTGAAATGTGTGCAAGCTTGAATTTAAATTAAAAAAAACGGGAGGGGGGGATTGTGGGGGAGGGCGCAGCGCCTCCCCCCCAAAGCAGATTGGAAACACCTATTTTCACATGCAAGGTGCTAGGTTGAATGTGATACTCAAGGTGTATATACTACATGACATGCACCTTGGAAACATGTGGAATGTAGGTTAAGGCACAACGATGCACAATAGTTTCATTTGATGTTATCATCGAGTTGGTTTAAGATATATTTATATAAGGTTTGGTTCAGGGTTGGCTTGGGGTTTGAATATCCTCCGGATGATAATGCAAACCTTTTAGATATATATATATATACAGATATATATAGATATATAGATATACAGATAAATAGATATATAGATTTAAAGATATATAGATATAAAGATGTATGTATATATACATATATAGAAATATAGACAGATATATACAGATATATTCTAAACTTTTCCTCGCAAACCAAAAGCCTCGGAAATCCATGTCTTCACCATGCCTATTGCATGCTGAACTGTTGAAACGTTTGAAGTAGTTTTCAACTAGCAAACAAACTGTTCTCGGCAAAACGCAAAGATCCAAATTGGATCAGTTGACCTACAAAACTACTAAATCACTACGTGAGTTGTAGTAGGTTCCAAAAGGGTGAAGTTGTGGTAAAACATCTACACACCCCGCCCGTGAATTGCACGCTCTTCGTACAAATCACGCTGTAGTTGTTTTGAAGCAACAGCTTGAAAGCAAAAGAATTGTATCCTATGCCACGCTCATTGCCTCTCACTGCAAAAGGTACCGGTGAGATCGTGTTAGCTCACCGCGCACCAACTGAAAAAGGTACCGGTGAGATCGTGTTAGCTCACCGCGCACCAAATGTTGCAGCCTCCGACATGCACTCCTTTTTCATGTGCCATAAGGGAGAAAAGGAGTGCACTCAAATCCAAGGCAACGAACATTGCAGCTTTGGAGTTGTGTTCCTTTTGGAAACTCTTTTCACAAAGCTAGCTATTTGTGCTCTCTGTGTTTTCACCTTCTGATTCGCTTTGTCCAGGCGATATGTCGTCCATGGTTTGCATCATGAACATTGCTCTGTGACGCTGACTCGGATCGCGTCTGCAGACTTTCAAGACGCCCACCATGATCGCCCGTCTTTCTGCATTGCGACGACAACGTTCGGTGTCACCTGCTCCAATGCATTGCTTGATGCGCTTGCTCAAGCGACTGATCATCCAAACACCCATATCCTCTGGACTGTATTGCTCATATGGGTTTGGCAACTCAATCCTCATATATTCATCATCCATGTCAGGTGGAAGCATGTCTTCCACATCAGGTTCTGCAAGGATTCCAGTGTTGAAGTTTTCAATCTCCAACGCACTGAAGTCCACCGCAAACGCTGGGTCCAAGTTTTGCAAACGCTCGTATGCAAACATTGCACTGTCGATGGTGGATTGTTTCACTCCATCATCCTCACTGCTGTAAAAGCAATCCATGATCACTTCATAGATTGTTTCTGCCTGCTCTGCAATCTCATCGTTCTCACTGGGCTGCAATTGTAAAGAACGCTCATTGCAAGCAGCAAGGAAAACATGGAATTTCACACCATTGAAAGTTTGCTCCTCATTTGGTTCTGTTTCAGCGTCTGGCTCTTGCAAAAATGTTTCACTTTCATCGCTATCTGGTCTGCCTTCAAAATGCCTTGCAACTCTGGAAACTGCAAAGCAAATCACTCCGATGAAAACGCACATGTAAACCATTGGGCTCAAACCTAGGCTCAAGGCTTGGCTGCTGGTTCCTTCTTCACTCCCAGCTGCGACGTTGATGCAGCTGAAAAGTAGCATCACTGCAAGTGCAAATTTCATCTGGCACATCCATGAAATCATCCACGCAAATGACATGGCAACTGAAATTGGAGACATGTAGACATCACCGCAAAACTCAAAGGAAAACGCTGAGCTCGAAACTTGAAGTCCTTCTGTCATGTTGACCAAGCTGAACACTGAAAGAACTCTCAGGACTTGCTTAGCCAAAGCATTCACACCAGATTGTTTCCTTTGGTATGTTTCATCCATTCCAGTTTCATCTGTCAACGCACGAGAGACAACCTTGATTTGGTTTTTCATCAGCTCCTTTGACTGCAAACGCGCAAACTCATCTGCACCAACTTCATTGCCATCTGAGGTGAATCCAAGCAAAAACAAAAGACCTAGAAACCTGTCTTTCTGCAACGGTTTTGTGTTCACATCTGAAACGTTGAAAATTGTTTTCACCTGTTTGATTCTGAGTTCATGACTGGCAACCTTGCTTTGAAGCCAAAGAAGTCGGCCCTTGATGTGACGCAATCTGCCAGCCCCTTGTTTCAAAGACAGCATCTTCACAGCTGAATTGTCAACATGAAGTGTCAGTGGGTCCACATCGTCATCAGTGATGAATGACACGATGTGGTGCAAGTACAAAGCATCACAAACACCTGAGCTTGCTGAGTACCATTCAGCTTCTGTTGAAGACAAGCTGATGCATTTCTGTGAACGTGATGTACTGAAAATCACAAGCCCATTCAGTGTGTGAATTGCAGCTGAAGTCGATTTCATGTCACCTGCACCTGCCCAGTCACTGTCGGTGTACACTTCCAAATTGTTTCTGCTACGCTGGGTATCCACTCCAAGCACTGTTTCCATGAAACTCTGCCCTTTCTCACATTTTTCCATTCTCAAAGCAAAGCTTTCACTGTAACGCAGGTATCCTATCAGTCTTCCCAAACTCAACCATGCTTTCCAAGTTGGGTCCTTGAGGCCTGAAGCCAGCGTCTTTGTTGCATACTGTATATCAAAACGCTCTTGTGCCATGTACATTGCTATCCCAACCAAGGAACGGTATTCTGCAGAGAGGGAATCTGACAAAGGTTGCATTTCATCTGGGGCATAGCTTGGAGAGGACACGCAAGGAGTCTTGAACAGCTTTGGTGGTTTTCCATTTGCTGCAGTAAAACGGTCAAACAAAGTGCAAACATGCTTGGCCTCTGGGTGAACGGTGAGTGATGTGTACTCAGGCGCAATCTCATGGTAACGTTTCAGAAACTCAAAGCCACCACCAGTCTCTCTTGAAATGATGGTGTATGTCATCTTGAACTCACTTTCCAGTTTGGGAATGAGAGTATCCCTGAGCCACCTTTCATCACCCATGAAAAGCACATCATCCACATGCAGTAAAAGCACTCCAAAGTTCTTGACACGCAAAATGCAAGGCTGTTCTTTGCAAGACACAGCATCCACATGGTGTTGAACACGTCCGACAAAGTAGTTGAACCACAACCGTGATGCATCGCGCTGTCCAGGCAAACATCGTAAAATGATGTGTGAGCAACCATTGATTGTAACAGCTCTTGGCAAACTCTGAGGCACCTGCAAAAAGGCATCGCTGATGTCCAACGTTCCAAGCACTGCATTGGGTATGAAGCCATCAGACATGGCTAAGGCTGGCAACAGCTTGACTACTGCTGAGCTTGTTGCAGGACTGAAAGTGTCCTCCCTTGATTCCAGCCAATTGAACTCTCTTGCAACTAACCTGGAACGTCTCATCCAAGCAGGTCCTTCACTCACCAAGTTTCCAACTGAGTCATATTCTTTGCGCGTTTTCTTTCTCCACGTACGCACAAACTTTGCTGAAAGAGGTTTGCCACACTCACCTTTGTATTGCTCTGGAGTTGTGAGCACCTGCATTGAAGTCAACCTCATGATTTCAACTTTGTCACCATATTCATCGATCTTTGCAAGAAGCTCTGGGTCCAAGCATGGCTCCAATTCAGAAAACGGCTGCCACAAACAATCATCGTCCATGAAAGGATCATCATCTGTTGTATCCTCATTGCCAAAGTACTCAGTGAAAAATGTCTCCTGAGAAACGCTTTCAAAGAGTTCATCAACGTCCATGTCAACATGTTGCAGTTCTTCATCTCCAATGCGTCGTACTGTTGTTCTTTGTCTTTTTGCTTCTGGTTCTCCCTCAACAGCTGTATCTGCAACACGTGTGGCAACTGTGGAGTCCATCTGCATTGGCCCCGCCTGCTCAGCACCCTCAACTGGCGCTGAAACCACTGCTGTAGGTGGAGGTGGTGTCCTCCTTGGTGCCTGAACCTCTTGTGTTGGTTCTGGCATGGGTGTGCGTGGAGCCAAAGGAATCAACGGTGTAACTGGAAAAGTTTGCAGCTCTGTTCCATCACCATCTTGCAAGACTGCTGATCCAGTGCCTGCTGTAGCATCAACCTCATCAAGTTCATCAGGATCTGGGGCTGCCTCATCGTCAATTCCAGGTATGATGCCTGGAACACCAAGATAAGACTTGGAGACAGGCTTCACTCGATTACCAAGCACACCCTCAATCTGCCAAGGAAACGTAAGCAAACTGCGATAGAGCTCCATGTGCTCAGACCAATCTTTGAAAATTGCTTTCACTGACCTTGTCAACCTCAAGTTGCCTTCACATTGGACCAGGAACATGTCATTGGTAACGCTCTTTGTCAAGAAAATGCCAGGTCTCCATTTTGGGTCACCCTTGTGTTGATTGGTGTCCCCAACAAAGCACATGACTGGCTCTGCAAATTGGCACAAACGTCCTCGATAGGCATGCCCTCGTATGAGCTCATAGGACGTCACCCCTGCTCGAACTCCATATCTGTTTCTGATCCAACACGCATGTATGAAGGCCCATGAAAACAATGGATGTCCAACTGGAATCTCATAGTTCAGACGCTTGGAAAGTTCATGCGACAACACTGAACTCATGTTTCTGACATTGTCCACTGCCTTCTCAACCCAAGAGTTGCTTGCATGATCCAAGAGTTTGGAATTCTCAATCACTGCACGATGTCCCATTCTTTGCCATGTACGTTGAAGTGAGTTCTGCACTGCCAGGATTGCAGGTTCTTGGTCACATCTCAAGCAAATGTCTGAGTGACCCAAGAACTGCAAGAATCTCACAGCTTCCATCACCATGTATTTTCTCTGACTCTTTGCAAAAACCGGGACACAATGCACAGCGCCTGAATGAGAATCATGAAAAACCAATGTTGTCAGTTTTGAAGTTGTTGTATCAACATCCACTGATTCACAAGACTTGCCAGTGTATGCAAAATCAAATGACAAACTTGGAAGCTCTCGATCTTGAAGTCGACTTGAATCTGTCTCATGTCTTTCAGCACGTCCTTTCCCTTGCACGCAAGATTCACACCAAGCTGCATAAGGTGTGTGAGTAAGTTGATGTCGTTTGATTTCATCCTCATCATCTGGTCTCTCTGCTGTCTGAACTGGCACAGGGTTTCTTGCAGACTCTTGCAAACTGCTCTGCATGATCTCAACTTCTTCGAGAATCTTCAGTTTGTCAAGGTGTCCAATGATTCTGTTCCACAGTTTACTCTTGGAGCCTGACTGAGAAATCTCCAGATACTTGCAAGAAGCCCTCAAAAGCGCAATGGACGACGATGGAGTCACTGTGATCCCTGCAATTGTAACACCTGCAGACTGAACACCTCCAGTTGCATCGATTGTCACTGGAATTTCACTTGAACGCTGAGCATCTGTTGTATGTGGTTGCAATGCATCTGACATCTGAACATCTTGGGGAGCCTGTGCAACTGTTGAAGATGAACTTGATTGCGCACCTCCTTGAACTTGTTGTCCAGGTTGTTCATTCAAAACCATTCCAAGTTGATCGATTGTACAAACATTCTTGGTAACAATGGTCAACAAGTTCTTGTATGGTTGTCCAATGGGTTTACAACGTTCTTCAAGATCAAAAATCTTCTCACAAAGTTCCAAAACGCACCAACCATCATGCTCACTCCATGCAACTGTTGTACGGTATGGCCATTCATTGACCAAAACATCACTGGTCACGTCCACATGCTTTTGGGCTCCAGACACATAGATCATCATGCTGTCACCAAACTCCCACCAGCCAGATTGCAGCTTCTGCCAACTGCGTGGCACATCAACATGAATCACTCTGACAGTCTGTTTGTTTTCAATAACACGCACATGACCATGAATCACCAGTGAATTGTTTCTGAAGTTCATTGGAATCTTGAAGCCACGTGCATGAGTGAGGAAACTGCCTGTGTCGTCTGGGACAATGCCCCAGCCATTTCGAAGGAGCTTTCCATATGAAATGATGGGTGAATCAACTGCATTGCTGAAATGAGCAGTGTCTCTGATTGTCACTGTCCTACCATCATCTGTTTGCAAATCAAAACAAATGTCCTTGACGCTGTCCACCTGAATGGCATTACCTTGAGCATCACGCAGTCGACTGTCCTGGTCTGCACATGGTGTTCCTGCATGGTTCAAATGAACTGGAAGTACTGTTGCATCAGATCCAGAGTCCACTACAATGTCATGACCTGTTGAAATTGCACGCACTGAAAAACTTCTGTCATCACTCCAGGGCGGCTGCAAATCAAACTGAAAACAAGGTTGTTCTGGTTGTTGAAATAAGGGTTGAGGTTGAGATTGAAATAAACGTTGTTGACATGATGGTCGAAAACACTGAGAGTCACAAAAACGTCGTTTGAAATTGGATTTGTTTGTCAAATCAGCATCATACAAATCAAACTTGTAGTCCATGGCAACGTTCTCTGTGAAATGCTCGAAATCGTCCACCTGTGGCAGTGACTGCATTCGAAACCTGTCAATTCCATCACCTGCAGGTTCGAAGGCATACTCATGAAACATTCCCTGCAATGACAAACCACGTTGAAAATCTTTGCAAGTTCCTGCATCTGAGCATGAAATCATTCTGACACTTGGACTGAAAACATCACTGCCATCTGAAATGTCGAAATAAGCACTGTCACCAACGTTGCAAGGCAAAGAAGAACATGGAGAAAATGTAACACGCTTCACAT